GGAGGAGGACAGACAAAGGACCTAAATGTCCTCACTAGGATGGAGGAGGACAGTCTCACCTTGGTGTGGACGGTGAACTTGACCTTGTCCCTCTCACTCAGAGCGTCAGAGATGTCCACCTGCAGCGTGGCGTCCGTCTGCAAATCTACATTCACCGCCCGCGGCTGCAGAGGGAGGATAGAGACCACATATCCCATAATGCACCACACCTACTGACGGGCTGGTTAACATAGTTATTGATTAAGGACACAGAGTCGAAGAGAGAAAACTAGAACACACAAACTGGTACGCATCTTATTTTGAATAATTATAATCCTTATTATACGTCTTCTGTGAATTATTACTGGGACACAGACCAGGACCAGGACTGGTTTCATGTCTCACCGGGACACAGACCAGGACTGGTTTCATGTCTCACCGGGACACAAGACCAGGACCAGGACTGGTTTCATGTCTCACCGGGACACAAGACCAGGACCAGGACTGGTTTCATGTCTCACCGGGACACAGACCAGGACCAGGACTGGTTCATGTCTCACTGGGACACAGACCAGGACCAGGACTGGTTTCATCTCTCACTGAGACACAGACCAGGACCAGGACTGGTCTCATGTCTCGCTGGGACACAGACCAGGACCAGGATTGGTTTCATGTCTCACCGGGACACAGACCAGGACCAGGATTGGTTTCATGTCTCACCGGGACACAGACCAGGACCAGGATTGGTTTCATGTCTCACTGGGACACAAGACCAGGACCAGAACTGGTTTCATGTCTCACTGGGACACAGACCAGGACCAGGACTGGTTTCATCTCTCACTGGGACACAGACCAGGCCCAGGACTGGTTTCATCTCTCACTGAGACACAGACCAGGACCAGAACTGGTTTCATGTCTCACTGGGACATAGACCAGGACTGTCTCAGTGGTCATGAGACTCAAACTGAACTGAAGGTAATCATCCAATCAGCATCAGAGAGAGAGTCACGTGACACCCGGATGGCTAACTAGTACAGCAGAGCCTGTTAGCTCAGTTAGCCCGTGAAGCTAACGGTTGAACCGACAGAGAGCCTGGAGCCCGTTAGCATGAGGCTAACGTTAGCCAGCACGGCTAATACACTGGAGCTACGGCTAATTAGCTTATCTAGCTTGCCACTGACGGACAGACAGGGACAGACAGGTGCAGACAGACAGGTTGCACTCACTCCCCGGTCCTCCTCGGAGAGGAAGTCGGGTCCGTCGTCCAGCCCTTCTTGCTGCGGAGAGAGAGCCACACAGATCCGTTAGTCCACCACAACAACAACAACAACACCGACACCGGAGCAGCCCGTTAACGAGCCGGTTAAAGAGAGAGAGAGAGGAGAGAAAAGACATGAAGACGTGAACCCACCATCATGGCTGCGAACGGGTGGAGACAGGAAGTGGCGTGACGTCACTACGGAGAGACGCACGTCACGAATCAAATTCAAAACAAGGAGAGCTTTATTATAACCTTTTATTTAACTTTAATTATATTCAGTTTTGTTTATTTTATTTACTTCATTTAATTATATTGTTTTGTTTCATTTGTTATACTTTACTTTACTTCATTCTACTCTATTTTATTTTACTTTATTTTGTAACTTTGTTTCATTTATTTTTTCTTATGATGATGTCATTGTGTGTGGTCTCACTTCTGCTGGTCTGTAGTGAATCTCGGTCTCTGTAGTGGATCTTGGTCTCTGTAGTTTTTAATCTTCCATATATTTCTGCTGGGAGTATTTAGACCAGTACAGATTTGACTCATTAGTGAAGGACTTTAGAGAACTAAGTGTAGAACTAACAGAAAGTGGATCCAGATCGGTGTTCTAGGGTTGACCCCCCTGTAGTGGATCTGGGTCTCTGTGAGCGTCTCCTTGTGAGGACGTGATGACTCAGAGACATGAGAGTCTATAAATATCAGCAGGGGGATCAGATTCCGGAGCTGAGTCACTGTTTCTTTAACAGCTGCAGGAACCAAGAACCTGGTTCTGGTCTCACTGGGTCCTCTGATGTTCTATCAGAGAGATGTTCAGGAACACAGAAACTCACCTGGATGATGTCATTGTACAGGTAACCTTCTGTTCATTATGATGTCATCGTACAGGTAAACCTGTTTATTATGAAGTCATCGTACAGGTACACCTGTTTATTATAATGTCATCGTACAGGTAACCTTCTGTTTATTATGTCATCGTACAGGTAAACCTTCTGTTTATTATGATGTCATCGTACAGGTAACCTTCTGTTTATTATGTCATCGTACAGGTAAACCTTCTGTTTATTATGATGTCATTGTACAGGTAAACCTTCTGTTCATTATGTCATCATACAGGTAAACATTCTGTTCATTATGATGTCATGTACAGGTAAACCTGTTTATTATGTCATCGTACAGGTAAACCTTCTGTTTATTATGTCATCGTACAGGTAACCTTCTGTTTATTATGATGTCATCGTACAGGTAACTTTCTGTTCATTATGTCATCGTACAGGTAAACCTGTTTATTATGATGTCATCGTACAGGTAAACATTCTGTTCATTATGATGTCATGTACAGGTAAACCTGTTTATTATGATAGCATCGTACATTGAAGCTGCCGGTCAGTCGATGATAATGAGGAGCCCTGTGATTGGCTGTTTGTCAGTGAACTGCATCCTGGGAGTCAGACTTCACTGTAAAGAACCAGATATTTATAACTCACCCTCACAGAACATGATAATGTGATTCTGTTCCTGCAGGAACCTAACGTCTGTATAATAAACACCTGGTAGAACGTCTGCAGACAGAACGTCTTGTTGTCTTGATTTGTATTAACAGATGTTTATTTAAAGTTTAAATGTTTTTAACATGTTCTGTATTTCTTACTCGTTCTCTACTGATGGAGCCGTACTTGTTCTAATGGGGTTTACTGTAATTTTACTGGTTCTACTAGGTTCCCACGGGTAATGGTTTGGGTTAGTAATAGTTCACCTGGAGTTCAACAAAGTCATGCTGGGTGTTATGAGTTATACTGGAGTAAAGAATACTAAGGGGTCTAAGGGGGTTCTAGTGGGATTATAGTGGTTCTGATGGGGTTCTTCTTGGATTATAGTGGTTCTAGTGGGTTTCTTCTTAGACTATAGTGGTTCTAGTGGGGTTCTTCTTAGATTATAGTGGCTCTACTGGGTTTGTTCTTAGATTATAGTGGTTCTAGTGGGGTTCTTCTTAGATTCTAGTGATTCTACTGGGTTTCTTCTTTGGTTCTCGTGGGGTTCTTAGGTTATAGTGGTTGTACAAAGTTTCATCTTAAATTATCGTGGTTCTAACGTTTTTTTTCTTAGATTATAGTGGTTCTACTAGGTGTGTTCTTAGATTATAGTGGTTATGGGGTTTGTTCTTAGATTATAGTGGTTCTAATGGGGTTTGTTCTTAGATTAGTGGTTCTAATGGGGTTTGTTCTTAGATTATAGTGGTTCTAATGGGTTTCTACCGAGATTGTAGTTCTCCTACTGAGTTCATCCTCAGTAGGAGAACTCACATCTCTTCTACTAAACCTGGTTCTATCAAGGTTCTACTGTGTCACACTGGTTCAATTGATGATCTATTGATGGTTCTCCTGAGGGTTTACTGATGTCAGAGCACACTTATTAGAACATAGTTACTGTAGTGGGGTTATCCTCTGAGGTTCTCACAGACCGTAGAACATGAGGATCTAAGGGTATAATTGCTCTGTGATTGGTGGAAGCAGAGAAGAGGCGGGAGGTCAGATCTGCCACAGGATTTTATTGCAAAGTGGCTTCATGTGATCTCAGAAACAACGTGTTCCACTTTAAGGCTCCAGATGTCGTTGTGTTGTTGTTGTTGTCTCTCACTGCTGGGGTCAAATCTGCTTCCTGTAGTGTTTCTTTACAAAATAAAAATGCACTCTAACTAACTGGCGTTTACATTCAAAGTGAAAGTAAGGTGACGACCAAACGGTGATGAGCGGAGGTAAACGGGCGTTACCACGGTGTCGACACAAAGTGCTCTTCCTCTTCTCATAGTAACAACGATGTGGTGTCAACATACTGGAGAAGAAACAAACACTTTACAATAATAAATAAAGTCATATGTAAAAAGCCTCATGACCTGTGTGCTGCAGGAGGCGGAGCTTCGCCCCCCCGACACGTGTGGCTGCTTCCTTCACATCGACTTTTTGGCAAAACTCTGAGCAAGAGAGACAACCGTCCTGGTTTGGTTGGGGGTCATTTCTGGGTTTTTATCTGCCAGGTGAACAGAAGTCATGTGGCAACAAAGTGGGAGGGGTTTGCATATCATTATGTTAATGAGATCTCCTTCATGTTGGAAAAAAGCAAAAGGAACAAAAAGAAAAGAAAGAGGCCTAAAGACGCTAAGTCCTTGAGGACCAGATACAGAGCGGCGGTGTTTAGGTGCTTCGGTCCTATGGCATGGCGGTTGTTTTGGCTCCGCTCCGCTTGCCGCCGTGACATCACAGGGGTTTACCCTCCAGAGACACCACCACGTTACCACCAAGCTTCTCTGCCAGCGTGGCGCGGTCCTGGATGTCGTCCAGCCCGTTCACCTGCCACTCGTGTTTGATACCTGAGGAGACACACCTGAGATCATCGAGGGACGACACACACCACCTGAGCTCCACTTACCACACCTGAGCTCCACCACCAATCACACCTGAGCTCCAACACCTATCACACCTGAGCTCCACCACCTATCACACCTGAGCTCCACCACCTGTCACACCTGAGCTCCACCACCTGTCACACCTGAGCTCCACCGATCACACCTGAGCCTGACCTCCTTGACCTCCATCAAGGAGAAGTGGTTAGGAAAGGACAGCTAGGACACAGATGACTCACCTGTAAACTTCTTCTTGATGGCGTCTTTAGAGCTGGCATAGATCATCTTGCTCTTCAGAGGAGCGTTCTCTGGAGCCCTGAAACACAGCAGAGCCCTCATTCAGAACCAGGATCTACTCATGTGGTCTACAGGGACCCTGATGAGGATCAAGGATCAGGGATCAAGGAGACTCAGAACTAAAGTTTGGAACCTTTAAACTTTTAAATAACACAAAACGTATTTTAAATGCTGCTAAAAATAACTTTTACTGTATTTTAGACCTTTTCTTTACTGAGACAGAGAGACAGACAAAGAGGGAGTGGAGCAGGATCGGGTGATGGATAGGTGGTCAAAGATGAACCCAGAGGACCGTACCAGAAGATGAAGACCAGGTCCTGGTTCTAAAGGTCTTCAGGTCTAACCGTACCAGAAGATGAAGACCAGGTCCCTGGTCCTAAAGATCTTCAGGTCTAACCGTACCAGAAGATAAAGACCAGGTCCTGGTCCTAAAGGTCTTCAGGTCTAACTGTACCAGAAGATGAATACCAGGTCCCTGGTCCTAAAGGTCTTCAGGTCTAACCGTACCAGAAGATAAAGGCCAGGTCCTTGGTCCTAAAGGTCTACAGGTCTAACCGTACCAGAAGATGAAGACCAGGTCCTCCTTCTTGGACTCCTTGGTCTCGTAGGTGGCGTCGTACAGCCCGTATCTACAGTCGTTGGGTGGGAGGAGCTTAACGAAGCAGGCGTAGGGGTCCTCCACGGTCTCCCCGATGTCTCCCACCAGGATCTGTTTACCTTCCTCCACGATGATCTTCTTCTTGTCCTCACTGAGACAGAACAGCACGGCCTTCTTCCTCTTCTTCACCTCGTCCAGAGACGAAGACTTCCTCACCTTCATGTCGTTGAACACCCTGATGACCTCATCGTTCACTGTCACGCCCGACGCCTGAGGGGACACAGGTGATTGGTTCAGAGGAGGACATAGCTAGCTATCCGTCTAGCTGCTAGCTATCATGCTATTAGCTAGAGAGACAGCTAGCAGCTAGACAGTTAGCCAGCAGCTAGACAGTTAGCCATCAGCTAGACAGATAGCTAGTAGCTAGACAGTTAGCCAGCTAGTAGCTAGACAGTTAGCCAGCAGCTAGACAGACAGCCAGCAGCTAGACAGACAGCCAGCAGCTAGACAGACAGCCAGCAGCTAGACAGTTAGCCAGCAGCTAGACAGTTAGCCAGCAGCTAGAGAGATAGCCAGCAGCTAGAGAGATAGCCAGCAGCTAGAGAGATAGCCAGCAGCTAGAGAGATAGCTAGTAGCTAGATAGTTAGCCAGCAGCTAGACAGACAGACAGCAGCTAGACAGACAGACAGCAGCTA